AGCTTAAATATACGAAGGGAATCTGAATAGATATTTGCAGGCCAAAGACAGATGGGTGAGAGAAAAAGAAGGGAGAAAGGGAGGTGGAGGTAGCCGTTGAGGAGGTAGTTTTAGGAGAAGAAATATTCTAACCATCATTTTAAACTGACCTGGTAGATTAGCAAATTGACCTTGAGAAAAGTCCTTGACGAGAGACAAATGCCACCAATGCGAAGAGCTTAAATATACGAAGGGAATTTGAATAGATAGATGAGAGAAAAACAGGGAGAAAGGGAGGTAGAGGAAGACATTAAGGAGGTAGTTTTAGGAGAATAAATATTATAACCATAATTTTAAATTATACCTTCCTAAGTTAAGCTAATACTTAAATTTAGAAAATCATAGAAATTGTTGATTTATAGTCATTGATAAAAGTTGGTGGTTTAAATATTGATAAACAAACAAAATGAACGAAAGGGAATAACAGAACATTTTGTGGTCTTTTAGAATCCAAACGAATGGATGATAGAGAAATAAGAGATGAAATGTTCTAATAATCATTTTAAGTTCTGCATTTCTAATTTAGTCTAATACTTAAATTTAGAAAATCAAAGAAAAGGTAGAATTAAAAACATAATAATAAAGATCTCTTATTATTAATTAGAAAATGTAGATTCCAATACATAAATTAATCCTTCAATTAATATATAAAAATTTCTAAATTTAATTTGAGCTAATTTGGACATGAATCTTGACAATTTTAATAATATTCTTGATACGTCACTAAAAATTCTCTTTGATCATGCACGAATCTTGATGCAAATTTGAATTGGAAACCTTAAAAATTAAATTTGGGACCATCTGAAGTTTAACTTTAGCAAACTCATAATCTAATTTAACTTCTAAGTGAGATGAACCCAACGACACCAAAATCGGTCTAATCCGAGCCCAAATGGGTCCAAATAAAGGGACCAAAACATATTTGGAAGATTCAAAGTATTTATTGAATGACCTAGTGATATCTAAATATGACATTCTTACAATCAAATCAAGCTGCTTGACGAGACAAATCCAACGAGCCTAAGATCTCTCAATTCTAACATTCATGTCACTTAAATGCAAATGAATGTTCTATGATTAGAAGAATCTACGTACAGGGATTATCTGATGGAGGACTCAATATTTTTTCTACATTTACGTGGCATGCCACTCTCAAAATATATAAATAGACCACACTCTCTACATGGGGGTGGACTTTTAGAAGCTTGGATCTTAGTTTAGAGATCAAAATAATTATAAGGCTTGAAAATCCCAGAGCTCCACCTCAGCACCACTGTTAATGAATTTCATCGCCCGGCCACCACTGTTGAACAATCCGCCCTACCAAAATCGTCTGATCACCGTCTATCCATCACTGTCATATGTCGACTATAGTCCCTCCGACCATCATTTCCCGACTACAGTTCTTTATACCACCGTCACCCAATGACTATGGTCCCGTCGACCACCGTTGTTATATTACAGTCCTTCCGACCTCCATCGCCCGCCAACCACAATCGCTTGAATACAGTCTTTCCGTAGTCTTTCACCCGCCGACTATAGTCCATCCGACCACTGTCGCCCATGGACTACAATCCTTCTGAGCTTCGTCTCCCGACTATGGTACTTCTGACCTTCATCGTCTGATTACAATCCTTCTGACCTCAATCGCTCGACTATGACCCTTTCAACCTCCATCGCATGCTGACTAAGATGCCTCCGGCCACTATCGTATGACTACGATCCTTCTAATATCTTTCGATTGTTGAGTACTTTCAACTATGTTCCTTTCAATCTCTGTCACCTATTAGCTATGTTCCCCTCGACAATCATTGTCACCTATAGTCCTTTTGATCTCCATCATCAGTAAACTATGGTCCCTCCGACCACCATCTCAAGACTACAGTCCTTCCGGCCTTCGTCGCCCGCCTACTATGGCCCTTCTGACCACCACCACTCAACTATGATTCTTCTCAACATTGTCGTCCTACTACGGTCCCTATTACAACTGTTGTTTAACTATGGTCTTTCGACCTCCGTTGCTCTCTAACTAGATAACTAATACCGCCGTCATCTAGGCTCACGTATGCCCGCGTCTGCGTCCAGGTCTCTAAGGATTGTGCATACCCTGAAACTATCCCCATTTCCATTTTTGGTGAGCCTTTCTCTCTCAAAATTCAGTACGAATGGAAACCTACCCAATGTGAGCACTGTGGTTCTATTGTGCACACGTCAGAATTTTGCCCCACAAAGTCGCAAACTGATAATCCCTCTGCCCAGCCGCCTCCGCGTGGTAGAAGCACTAGCAGGAAGCCACCACGCGCTAATAACAGGAACCCCAAATTTCAGCCAGTTCATCAAAATGCTCAATCTTCTGAGAAATTGCCATCTTCCTCCAACGTCACCGCACCTCAGAAGCTCATTGATTAACCATCTTCCTCAGAGCACTCTAATCACACAAATTCGCAGCTCAGTAAACCCGCCCCGCCTGTGGTGGACATTCAAAATTTGGATAGTAACACTGAATCAGCTTTCATTACTATTCCCAATCTCAATTCTCCAACTGAGGAATCCACTTATTTTATCTTAATCACCCAGCAACATGATAAGGTGATATCTCCAAACAAATTTGCTATTCTTCAATAAAGTAGTAGTGAGAAAGAGCACCCCCCTCCTACTTCCTCTGTACCGGACAAGGCCCGAAACAATCCTAACACACTGCAAAAGGCTTCTAAGAGTAAGCAAACCAAAAAAACTCCTAGCCAATCTTCTAAATCCCAATGATCCCTCCACGTCTTGCGGCTTGGAATGTGAGAGGTTTCAACAACCCAGATAAGGTTAGGGCTTGCAAGGATTTAGTTCGTGATCTCAAACTTGATTTTCTGTGTGTATTGGAAAACAGGATACATGAAGCTTCTTTCTCGGATCCCTGGTTTCGTCTTAACCACTGCGTTTTTGAGAATGAGGAAAGCTGTCATAATTTCAATCTATCCATCTCGGGTAGGATTTGGATCAAATGGGATCCTATCCTCATTCAATTTAAGCCCTCCCTCTTTACCAACCAGATGATTTCGGGTGATCTGTATAGGGGGCAGGAATTCCTTTGTGTGCTTTCGGTTGTCTACGCCTCCAACTCACCGGCTGATAGAAAACTCCTTTGGGATAATCGTAGAGATTATGGGAATAGTATTAATTCACCTTGGCTCATTGCTGGTGATTTTAACTGCTGTCTTTATGTCATGAGAAATCTGGTGGCGCTCCGCTCCTTGATTCACACATCTGGGACTTTAATGCTCTTAAGTTTGATTTGGGTTTGCTTGACTTGGCTTCTAAAGGGCTTAAATTCACTTGGTTCAACCAAAGGGATAATGATCCAATTCACTTGAAGTTGGATAGAATGTTGGTTAATGACAAATGGCTAGACTCTTACCCAACCTCTTATTATGAAGTGCTCTCTCCCTCTTGCTCGGACCATTCTCCTATTGCTCTTTATTCTGGACAGAATTTCAAGGCTTATAGTAGATTTCTATTTAAAAATTTTTGGACCAAGCAGGATGGTTTTTGGGCTAACCTTCTCAACACTTATTCAAAACCGATTAGAGGAAATCCTATCATTGGCTTGTATTATAAGCTGAAATCTTTAAAGGAGAGTATCAAGAGTAGAGAGTGGGCCAACTCTTGTTTTCTTTCCAATCATCTTGCTTCCTTAAAAGATCAACAATCCATTTGTATTGGCATGCTAAATTTTGATCCTCAAAATGCTGCTCTAAATAAAAAATTTAAATATCTCAATGTTAAATTATCGGATTGTTCTTCTTCCTGGACTAATTGGATGCTCCAACATGCAAAACTTAATTGGCTTGCTAGAGGAGAATATGACTTAAAATTTCTTTATGCAAGATTAAAGAAAAGAAGGAATATTAGTGCCTCCACTTTGGTTGCTAGTGAGGACACTTCTATCAGGCAAGATTTGATTAATTCTATCACACAGCACTTTGAGATCCTCTTAATGCTGCTCGGCCTATTAACTCTCTTGATGCATTCCCTATTCCAAAAGGTAATGTTGTTCCAACTCATTTAGTTGATTTGCTGACGGTTCCTGTTTCTGATGTTGAAATTAAGGAAGCTATTTTTCATGGGAGCTCCAACTCATCTCCGGGTCCGGATGGGTTCAATTTTGAATTCTACAAATCCACTTGGCTCATTACTGGTCCTCTGGTTTGCAAAGCTGTGAAGTCATTCTTCTCTAAGGGCTATCTTCCTATTAATGTCAAAGCTACTGCTATTGCTCTAATCCCTAAGTCCACTCATGCATCTAACATTACAGATTTTCGGCTCATTGCTCTTTGTAATGTTTTTTACAAGATTATATCCAAAATTCTTGCATCCAGAATGAAGGATATAATGCCTCTTATCATTGGGAATAATCAAGCCGGTTTTATTAAGAAGCGCATTGCCACTGACAACATTCTACTTGCTTCTAAAATTCTTTCTGATTTTAAAAAATCGGCTAAGAAGAACTTATTGCGTGCCAAGTTAGATATTTGTAAAGCATTTGACTCTGAATTCATTTTAGCTAGAATGCGACAAAAAGGTTTTCCTCCTCTATTCATCCTTTGGGTCAAGGCTTGTATTACAGACGTGCATTTTTCTATTTGTATTGACGGGGGGGTTGGAAGGCTATTTTAATTCATCCTCAAGCATTCGGCAAAGCTGCCCCCTGAGTCCTTATTTATTATGTATTGCAATGGATGCCTTCTCTTGCCTGATTGATAATGATACTTCTCATAATATATTCATTGGATTTCAGAAGCAAGGCATGAATTTATCTCATCTGCTCTATGTAGATGACCTTCTGATTTTTGGGGATGCTTCTATTTCAATTTGTGCTGTCCTAAGGGAGGTGTTAAATCATTTTGCTATGATTTCGGGCCTTTTGGTGAATCATGATAAGAGCCAGGTTATTCTATCTAGCTATATTTCTAATCATATGGCTGTTTGTGAGGCCCTTCACATGCCTACATCTTGCTCCAAGATGATTTATCTTGGTCTGCCGATCTCTGTTAAAAAGAACTGTAAATCTGATTTTCAACCTCTCTTGAACTCTATCTCCAATCATTTATCTGGTTGGAAAGCTAGATTTCTCTCAATAGCGGGTCGTCTCCAATTTCTTAAATACATTGTTTGTAATACGATTGCTTATTGGCTTAGAGGGACTGTTATTCCTAAGTCATGTATCAAAACCCTTAGTAGAATGTGTGCAAAAAATTTTTTTTTTTGGATTTAGAGGCTAAAAAACTGCACCTCATTGCTTGGAAAAGGACTTGTAAATCAAAAATTAATGGCGGGCTAGGCATTCCGGACTTACATGGTTTATAATTTGCTAGCTTGTGCTCCATTATCTTCAGGTTTTACAATGATAATTCCCCTTTGTTTGAGTTCTTGAATGCAAAATATGGTACTCCTTGGACTCCGGCATTATGTAAACCATCTCCTCTTTGGGTTGAAATTGGAAAAGCTGCATTGCTTATTAGGTCTGATGTTGGTTTTGCCTTTAAACCTAACAATGTCATTTCTATGTTATGGGATCCTTGGTTTCAAGGAGGATCGTTATACCAAGCCTTTACTCAACAGTCTCTGGCTACTATTTTCAATCATAATGCAAAGGTTACTGATTTTCTGGGTATGAACGGTTGGACCTTTCTGAATTCTGATTTTGGAGACTTGAATTTAGCTTTGGGTTCTTTGGGGTTGACACCTGATGCTAAGCTTGTGCTTTTCTAGAATGACAGAGCAACTCCTTCCTTTTCTTCTTTTTTAAAGTATTTTTACAAAGAAGAGGTTATTGTTGATTGGAACAAACTGGTTTGGCACAAACACTATGTCACGACCCGACCCGACGGGGACGGATCCCGCCC